TCTCTCTCTCTCTCTCTCTCTCTCTCTCTCTCTCTCTCTCTCTCTCTTCCCTTCAGTCTCCTCCTGGGGAGAGCAACGCTCTGCGAAGCTCTGAAATAAAAAGGCTGCAGGTAAGACATCTACAAGCTTTTATAATAATCTGAAATCCTCCGTCATTTTTTGGTTTTTGGACTTTGCAGGATTTTACTGAACCGGGTTTACAGGCAGCACCGGTTTGTTTGGAACTTAGTGACAAATTTACAGAGACAGCTATTTTCCAATCTTTATGTGCTATGGAAGTCTGTTATGCAAATAGAGCCGTTCTGATGGCTCCAGTGAAACCACCCCCACCCCCTCAGCATTCACGCGGTCAGGGCTGTTGAATCTGAGGATGGTTTGATCTGTGCGTAAACGTGCCACCTAATGCGTGATTTGTCCGGGTCGTTTTTCTCTGCACCGGTCCTCCATTTTCCCGCCATGCAGCCTTGTGGATGGATGGATGGATGGATGGATGGATGGATGGATGGATGGATGGATGGATGGATGGATGGATGGATGGATGCAGCTTTCAGTCTCTATCTGCTAATAAATGCACCGCAGTCCGCATCAACCAGGACGGAGCTTTTGCCGCGCAGCTCCGAGCTCTATGTCGGACCTGGACCTGGATCATCATCATCATCATCATCATCATCATCATCATCATGCCACCGTTTTTGTCCCTTTTTCCTCGTGCTGCTATTCAGATGCAAAGATTCAGTCTCCATCTGTCCTCTGGTCACATCAAGGCTACAGGTGCAGAGAAATGTCTTGGAGACATCATGACAGTGTTTGTGTGTGTGTGCGTGCACGCGTGCGTGTATGTGTGTGTGTGTGTGTGTGTGTGTGTGTGTGTGAGACTTTGCATGCCAAGAAACTAAATCTTATTTAATGTCAGATTATTAAAATTCCATTTTACCTACAGAAACCATTTAGCAATTCCAATAAAAACACATTTATAGAAGAATGACAATAACTAAGCAGATCTAAAACATTACATGGTAGAGTACCTGAGAGTCGACCCTGACACACCTTGAGCACAGATTGTGAGATCTCACAGTATTGCATGAACTCTTGCAAAATGTTATTTTCAAGGTTTGACTAAAACAGCTCTAACGACATTATTTATCATGACATGATCTTGGTTTGAAACTCAAAGCAGAAGGAGACATGTTTTTCTTCAAAGAATGCTGAACTTTTAATAATTTGAGCATTTTAGACTACATTTTGTTATTGCAAAAGTAAAACTGAGTTCAGTGTTGGCTTAAATGTTTCTGTTTTGTGGAAAAGATCTATAAAAGTTATCACTTGAAAACATTACCATATCCATCTGATATATTATTTTTTAAATTGAAATTATTGAAATTACATGATTTGGTTGATTAACATTTTGTTAGTTATGTATAAGGCTCACCAAAAGACATTATCTTTAAATATTCAGATAAACTTTATTAAGAGAGCTGTTACAACCTAAAGGGAATAGAGAGGTTCATGAAACATAAATTTAGAATAAGTCTGACTGAACAGCGCACCTCAATCCAAGGAGTGAGATTGTGGAATAATCTGGAAGAAGATGTTAAAAATGCTAGATCAATGTACATGTTCAAGAAAATGATAAAAGTTGGGCTTTTGAAGAAATATGAAACAGTATAACATCACATTACTCACATGTGCATAAATCCTACATTAGGATTGATTATTTTCTAATAAGTAATAACCTTGTTGCCCAAATTGCTAAATCTGGATATCATAAAATATTGATTTCTTATCATAGTCCCCTAGCCATATCATTAGATTTTTCCCTCCAGGCTTACTCCTGGCAACTTAATGCAAATCTTTTTATTGACAACAATTTTGTTAAAAGTAAACCATCAAGATTAAGGAACTTTATGGAAACAAATGACAACGCTGAAGTATCTGATTCTATCTTATGTGAAGTGTTAAAGACTGTTTTACTGGCGATGTAATTTCCTACATTTCAGCTCTTAAAAAAGATATAGAAACGCCCTTCCAAAATCAATAGTGCTCTCCCTACTTTGGAATGGAAGTACAAAATCTCAAAATTGCCTGAGGACTACAGAGAAATATTAAAACTAAAATATGAATATAATGGTATTATGAGCTACCAGGTTATAGCAACTTTCTATTGAAATTACGACAAAAGCATTTTGAGCTTGGGGATAGGCCTGGCAAACTAGCATGACAATTAAGGGMGCCCAATCCACAAGATCAATTTACAGCATCAAATCCAGCACTGGCAGTCTTTTGACCAACCCAGCTGACATCAATAGCAGATTTAGGGAGTTCTATTCTAACTATGTTCYTCTGAGAATAATGTGACACAATCTAATTTTAATGATTTCTTTGAGTCCTTTTCGCTGCCTAAACTGAATAAATCCGATAGGGACAATCTTGAGTCAGATTTGATGCTTGAAGTGGTGAAAGATGCATTAAAATCCCTTCCATCTGGCAGAGCTGATGGGTTTAGTTAGGATTTTTATAAAAAGTTTAGTGACCTTCTTGCCACAATTTTACTCAGAATGATGCCTGACTCTAAAATAGCTGGAAAATTGCCCAAAACTCTCTATGAAGCTAACATTTCCCTTTTTCTGAAAAAGGGAAGGGATGATACATCCTGCTAATTTTAGGCCGATTGCACTAAAAAAAATTTGATCAAAAGATCATCACAAAAATTCTGGACTGAAAGAACACATTATCTATTATCCATTCCGACCAGACTGGGTTCATCCCCGGCAGATTGTCTTCAACGTAAGGCGATTACTCAATACTGTATACCAGGACCAGAAAAATACCAATGGAGCATCTATTTTGGCCCCTGATGTGCATAAAGCCTTTGACCAGGTCGCTTGGCCTTATATGTTTGAAACATTGTACAGGTTTGGTTTTGGCGAGACCTTTCAAAAGTTGATGTGCTCTGTCCTGACAAATAATGATCGGTCAGCTCTGTTTGGTCTACAGCTCTGATTACAGCAGGGCTGCCCATTGTCACCGGCACTTTTTGCCATTAATTGGAACCGCTTGCTGTAGCCATTAGATAGCACTCACACCTCACACATTGAAGGACTTTGTGTCAGAGGAGTTGAAACGTTTTTTAGTTTATATGCTGATGACCAGGGMTGAAAGTAAGCCGGTACGGTCCYGTACTGTGTACCACTAAAAGATTTTGCACCGGTATGCAGTACCGGGAAGAGGAGGGAGCAGCTGTCAACTGCAATGCGGCAGTCACTGGAACTTGGACTGATTGTTGCCAAGAAAATAATCCTGAAAAATTGGAAATCTTCTGGTCCTCCCTCATTCCTTATTTGGGTATCTGACATGTTGTCCAATAATACAAATGGAAAAACTTTGTAAAGGCTCCAAAGATATTCTTCTGTGTCACTGGAATCCCTTTCTGAAACACTTCACAAAGGCCAGATTACAGTAAGTCAAACAAACTCTCATGCTAAAAACACTTCCCTCTGCCACATTGAGTATGTGCGCATCTGAATATGTGAGGAAGTATGTATGTGTGTGTGTGTGTGTGTGTGTGTGTGTGTGTGTGTGTGT